CTCTGGCATCTCAGCTTTATTTATAGCGTGGGCCTGTGTTGAATCCAATTTTGCAAACTATTAAAACCACATCCATCTTCTTGAGTTAAATATATCTAAAATTTTCTTGTGTAAGGGGATCATATTGATATTCAAAAAGCACATTCAAAATCCATTCTTTCACATGTTCCTGAAATTCTTTTTTAAAGATTTTATTTATTTATTTGAGAGAGAGAGAGAGAGAGAGAGAGCACATGAGAGTGGGGAGGGTCAGAGGGAGAAGCAGACTCCCTGCCGAGCAGGGAGCCCGATGCGGGACCGATCCCGGGACTCCAGGATCATGACCTGAGCCGAAGGCAGTCGCTTAACCAACTGAGCCACCCAGGCCCCCATGTTCCTGAAATTCTTGAAGGTATAAATTAGCAGTCTCCAAATTCTTCCTACATGCTAGGTTTCTTTGGATTTGGCCTCCAGGGGGCATGCTGGGCTCTTAACATTAGCTGTGGGTTTGGGAATAGAGGGCAGTGTCAAGGGGGTGATTGTTTTTTTCTGGTAAACTGACCTCCTCAGGTGAAAATGTCTTAAGAAAAAAACACCCTCCTTCTAAGTGAAGAAATTGCTTCCTTCCTCAATCATATACCCACTTAATTCTCAGGGTCCTAATCAGGGCTCCAATTTTCATACATCAGATCCCGTAAGACAGTGACTTCAACAGCTGTGCTAATTCTGGAGCCTCAGATTTGTTTTGGCTAAGCACTATACTTGTAAGAAATGGCATTCTTTAGGCTTCTGTAGGTTGGTTCATGGATATGAAATTGTTATTTACTTAAACTTTCCAATACAGCCAGAAGCAGCCACTCCACCATCCTTTTTCTTGTTGCCCAGAACCTTGCTGTAAATTGGGCATATGATTTCATGTGACCAGACAGGATAGCTATTTTACAACTGCCAGCAGAAGCCAGCTAGATTTCCCACTTAGATTCACTGCCTAATCCAGTTCAGATAACTAATTCCTATTTCCCACAATTCTATGGGAATGTGCTCCCCATAACACCAACTATCTGATGCCAATTACTGTAGCATTCAGAGATCCAGACCAGAAGCAACAAAATGTACTGTTTATCTTAAGCACACTGGATTTACTGGAATGCTCGTAGAGGCTCACAGCTTCAATAAAAAGCCAAAGAACAGGTAAGAAGACAATCAGGAGCCAAAGGAAACTACAGAGATAAAGCAATAGCAACACAGCAATAATCATGCAGCACAAAAGGGCACTGCTTCTGCCAGTGATGACTCACCTGTCTTCCTCATGCCCTTGTGAATTGGAGTCCAAGTCCAGGAAAGAAGTTTGATTGGCCGACTCAGGTCACATACCTGGCCCACGAGAAACCAGGAGCAGAGAGGCATGCCCTCTTAGAATTCTAGAGAGGCACTCAGGATCTTCCCTCAAGACAACGCTCAATGGAGGAAAGGTGATTCGCCTCAAGAACTCAGATATACCCAACTAATGCATCACTGAACACTACATCAAAGACTAATGATGTACTATATGCTAACTGAACATAATAAAAAAAAAAAAACAACCAAAAAAACAAAAACTCAGTGTTCAGAAAGTCAAAGTAGATGCCAGACAGCCAAAATAAGACAAATGAATTCCACAAAGTGGAAGATGAAATAAATGCGGAATAAAGGAATAAAGAATGGAATGCGGAATAAAGCTAGCCTTGCCTATCTTTCCCCAAAGCCAAACCCTGTTATAGAATATTTAAAAAACAAACCAAAAAAGTCACCTTATTTTCAAAATGGCTAAAAACAAAGAAAGCGTTATTTTTCCTGTCTTTCCTATATCAACTCAACCCCTGGGTAACCAAATGGTAGGTGGTAGTAAGTTTCCTTCTAAGGAAATATTCTGGCCAAAAAGGTGAAGAGGGAATGACAGATTTTGAATCACCATTTTGCAACCCATAATAAAGAAATGGATGTATGCACTAGGCATGGCTGCCCTTGCCTGTCCAGGTCTCATGACTTTCTCATGTGATCAGGCAAAAAACATCAGTAGTAATTAAGTCCAGCAGTGTTTCCCCTATGACTAACATATTTCTTTGATAACTATGATTATGGTAACTATGATAACTAAAGTATCTTAAGTATATTTAATACTCTGTGAAATAACAAATTAGGAATGCTAAAAATTAAATCTAGTACTGTAACCCCTGTATAATTTTCTTTTCAAATTAAAGATCTATGTATTCATTAAAATGGTTAGGTTTAGGGGCACCTGGATGGCACAGTCAGTTAAGTGTCTGACTGTTGGTTTCACCTCAGGTCATGATCTTGGTGTCCTGAGATTGAGCCCCGCACAGAGGTCTGTACTGAGTGCGGAGTCTGCTCAAGTTTCTCTTTCCCTCTCCTTCTGCCCCTCCCCACCTCACATGCTCTCTCTCTTTAAAATAAATAAAATCTTAAAAAAAAATGGTTTGGTTTAGGGCATCAAAGAGTAATGACAGATAAGGATTATAAAATCTTAAGAATCTCATCCATAAGGATACCTCAGAAAGATAAATGGGGAGAAACTTGGTTTTTAAAAAATTTGTCAGTTGATAAATGTAGATGAAATGACACAGTTTTTCAGTCCTCCTGTCCCCAAAAACCAGATTAAGTAATTGAGACAAAGATTTTTCGTGGATGCTCAAACCCTAGATGAAAAGATTCTTGGGGAACAAGGCATACACAAGGTCTCAAATTACTACTGCACAGATTATTTATTAATTATGAAAGGAAAACTGTACTTTTACAATGGAGAGTTCTGGCAGCCACCACCTGTTCACCAAGCGATCATACTTAGCAACACCAATAAATGAGACAACCTAACATTTTATGGCTCCTCACGTGATACAGTTAAGTACGTATCACTACATTTGCAGACTTCTTGCCAAAAATGTTCATCCTGAATCTACCCAAGAGAAAATAAGGCAATCTGATAATTGGTGAACCTACATGAAGGTTATGTTGGGTGTTTTTGTATTGTTTGATCAGTTTTTCTCTAAGTTTGAAAGTTTTCAAAATAAAAAGTTGGTGAGAATATAACTTGTTTGTAACATTTCCATATAATACAGAAAACAAACAAATAAAAGGGGTGGTTTAAGTCTTGGGTTAAAATCAATCCATCTCTCCAAAAGTAAAAAAGTCCAGGCAAAGTTGAAGAATTCCGCCTGGTCCTTCACTGACCCAGAGCCATATCCTCTGTGACCTCTATTTTGTCACAGATGAACAATATAGCTTTTTCCTGTCTCCACTAGGTCAAGACACTGAAGAGAAGCAAAAAGACAAAGTACAACTGACAAAGCACGTCTACTGGCTCCAGAAATAAATTCGAGATCTGGAAGCAAACTCTAACTTTTCAAAACTTGATTTATCTTTAAAAGAAAAAACTTGTTAAAGTCCCTTTTACTTTTTCAATCAGGAAATAAAACAAACCCTGCTGAAATTAGATTCAAAAACTAATGAATGGTATGTTATTCTTTAATATGACTTAAGGATCTACAATATAACAAACTAAAAGTATAGGTTAAGTAAGCATGTATTGTACATGAAGGAATCTAAATTTCAGTTTTGAAATCATGTGCTAAATGGTAAGTCCCATGAAGTGTCACACCATTTTTGGCTTTGCTTTATTGAAATAGCAAGTCAAAATTTAGTTAATATATACTTAGATTTTATGTGTTTGATAAAAAAATTTAACCAATTATAAATTCCAGTGGAAGATTATAAACAACAGTCTATTTTTCAAAAATAATCTACTTGTTCAGATCATCTTTTACATTCTTGAATGTCTGCACTCAAAGGAATAACAAAATACAGGGGAGCTCTGGGTTATACTTATGTGTACTCCTGAAAAAGGGATAACACTGCAAAGGACAAGATTATGAAAAATGGTAACCCTTTCACCTATATTTTGCACAGAGGGTAGGAGTGAAAAGGTGTGTTTTTAGTGAAAGCCATCCCACGGTGTGTGCCAAATAGTGCTTACTTTTTTGCCAACCCCCCAACACTTCCAGACAATAAAACCCATAAATCCCTTTATTCTCATACCTACTGAAAGGTTTAATACAGAATTAGATTGCACCCTCATTAGGTATGTTTCTATCCTTTACTGTGAATTTTATCATTTTAATCTTAATAAAATGAATTTTAGTCAGCCACCAACCTATGAAGCTCCCCTTGAACCCAAAGCTGTTTCGCAAGCAAAACAGAAACAAGGGAAATAGTAAACTAATTCTTCAATAAAGCCACAGGATCTGAAAGAAAAAATGCCTAGAGTTTGACACCTAGGCAAGTAACTCAGATCTGTATCTCTTATGAAGGAACCCAAATAACACCAACTTCAAGCACACACTAAAGACCGCAGAGATTAAGAAACAGCAAACTTTTCAGCACAGACACAGGCCAGACAAATTAACGATGCTAATGACTGTTGCTAATACAGAGACAAAAGCAAGCCAAAAAGCAAGCAAGCATAAGAATCAAAGATTCTCAAGCCTGGAGAGCTTTTCAAAAGTACACTTCCTGGGATCCACCCCAAACTAGACCTATTGGAATTTCTGAGATTCAGACTCAGTACCAAAATTTCTTCACAAGACTCCCAGCTCATTTTTTTGTGAACCCGGCAGTGAGGATCACTGGTATAAATGCAAAGAAGGTATAAAAGAGGAAAAGGAGAGAGGAGGCAAAAAGACCTTCAGAAAGCGCTAATCACAATTACCAACTTCTGATCAGCTTTTCCATTTAAATCATGCTCATTAATTTCACACTACCCTCTACTGGTCAGGAAGGATATATATTATTCTTAGAATTATGGTACAGAAGAAATCTCCCATTTTATTAGTTGAAAGAATATGTCTAGAAGCAATTAGCAAACCATTATTTATTTTCTTATAACAAGTATAAAATGGTTTGGCAAATACTGTAGTGGCAAAAATGTTTTAAACTTAATCTCAACACTTAGGAGCAGTTTTAAAAAATGTTATCATATTGTTTATTTCAAGGTTTGTCATACTTGACACTACTGACATTTTGAACCAAAGGATTTTTGGTTGCATGGAGGAAACTCTGAATGTAAGCAGTTTTTACACTATTCAGTAATAACTTTTTTGACAGAGAAGGGTGTTTCAATATAAATTATGAATTTTTCAAATCATCTTCTTTAGTACTTTTGTTACATGACCATAACTCTTTGTCTTTTCTGTTTCAGGATGTTTTGCAGCATCCCTGGCCTCTACTAGATGTGAGCAGCAGCCCTTCCTCAAAGTTGTGAAAACCAAAACATCTCTACACATTGTTAAATACCCCCCTCCCTGGCCCCCCAAAGGGGAGGGACAATATGGCATTCACCTGCAAATCAGTGAACTATCCAATTCAGATGTTCCCAAAAAATTGATAAAAAATATTTTTTACTTAGTGAAAGATGACCCACTTACTAATTAAATCTAAAGTGCACGAATTTTTGTATACCAGGTTCATAAAGAATATCTCATAAGAACTACAGTGAAGATTTATTTTTAAATAACTATGGAATTTGTGTGTACATGAATATTCTAATTTCTTTTCAATCTAATCATCTTGTGATATATAAATCTATGCAGTACAACAGTTTAATCAACATATACTGGTTGCTTTATTTAATTTTTCACTTTAAGACAAGACCAAATCAAAACCTTTGAACTTATTATACTTTTCAACCTGAAAGAATCAAAGAATAGCTACAACTCTAAAATAGCATCAATAAATCCAATATTATTCTCATGAGTATCAATAGGCTATACTGAAACAAGGTTAAATATAAATATCTTACTCTGTACTTAATTTGAAGTGTTGCCACCGAAATCAATTACAGATGTTTATTCTGAAAGATGCTACTACGAAGGTTGCAGACTCAAACGCTGATAATGGTTATTCAAAATTAAATTTATGGAATACCCAGAAAATAGGCTGAATTTGAGCCTGTAGATAGTTTTAAAATACTCATTACTAACAATTTTTTAAAGACACAGAAGGCTGTTGTTTCCTACAATTGGCAGTTTTAAAATCATCTCCCTTTAGTGCTTTCAACTGTCACATGGCCATAAACCAAAGACCCAAATAATTTCAAATGATCACAGATACTATTTAGGCAAAAACTCTCATGTGTCAATATTTTTAATGTTGTGTACATCAAATTACAGTAAAAAGATGACTATAAACAACATGCAGCCCCTCTATTTTCATGAACAGCACAACAGATTACAGTAAACCGAGTTTATATTCCACCATCAAGTGTGGTTCTCCCATTAGTTCACTTTGTGACGGGTCTGAAAACAAACAAAAACAAACATATTAAAGATTCTCAAAGAAAAGATAAATTCAATGATTCCACTTACATGAAAATCTAGAACAGGCAAAACTGACAGAAAACAGACTAGTGGTTGCCTAAGGTGCCTAAGGGACCAAAGGTGAGGGACTGACTGCAAAGGGATCAAGGAAACTTTCTGGGGTGATAAACATTTCATATCTTGACTGGGGGACACTTACACAACAGTACACATTTGCTAACATTCACAGAACTGTACACTTAAAATGAGTACAATCTATTGTATGTCAACTATACCTCAATACAGTTGATTGTAAAAAAAAAAAAAAAGCCAACAACAGACTGAAAAAGTTCTCCTTTTTCAAAACTTAAGTTTTCCAATGGCTTCCCAGATGATGCAAGGAAACAATCTCTAATTAAAAGACTGAGCAGTCTCTTAAACTAGTTTGCAAAAACATTTTATTTCTATTGTTTTGTGCTCTGTTACATACACATACACAAACATAAATCAGAATTTAGGACCAAGAAAATCTTTAAAATCTTCACTATCTTGTGTTTAGAGAGCAATCAGACAAGTCTTATTTTAACTGTATAGTATATATAAAAGAGCTTTTAAAATTAATGCTAACAGTAAGCTTCCAAAAAACAAATAAAGCCTTTTTCCGTTTCTGCCTCCTATTAGGATAAAAACCCAATGAATTATAAAATCAGTTTGTAAAAAGAAATAACCATCCACATTAAAATAATGATTACAGGTCTGGATGTTTCCTCACTGATCTCCTAAGAGATTAGAGATTATTGTGTCACATCAGTTCAGCAATCTATATACTCTCCACACTCATCACACAACAAAGTAGCCTTAGCAACAACTGACACTGCTATACTTAATAACGGCAGAGTAACTGCTATGTATATAATAGGCATTCAAAATCTAAACTTATTAAAAAAAAATGCCTCCACAAGAGTACAAAGGCCAGGCAAAGATGTTTGCTTACAGCACTGTTTTGTGTTAAGTGAAAAAAGAGGGGCGCCTGGGAGGCTCAGTCAGTTGAGCGTCCGACTCTTGATTTCAGCTCAGGTTACGATCTCAGGGTCATGAGATTGAGCCCGGTGTCGGTCTCTGCATCAAGCATGGAGCCTGCTTAAGATTCTCTCTCATCCTCTCCCTCCCCCAACCCCACTCACACACACGCTCTCTCAAAAATTAAGTTAAAACGTAAAAATTTAGTGAAAAAAGCATCCAGCAATAAATGCATTGATGTATCATACATACTGTAAGACACACAGTATGCCAGTTGTGTTACCAAAAAAAAACAAAAAAAAAAAACCACTAAGCAATGCCAAATATTTCTGACTATATATATTCATATGAAGACACACAGAAAAAAGACTGGAAGGAAATATACTAAATGAAAACAGCAAGTAACTGAAGAATAAGGGAGAGTAATGGGTTTGGGGGTAATCATGGAGGACCCGAGTTTCAGCTGTAATGTTTTAAATTGTTAAACAAAGAATACATTAATTTTTATGACAACAACTCTCTTTTAAACTTATTTTAAGCTTTGACTTTAGTAAAGTGCATGCTTATTAAATAAATCACATACACCAGAAAACAACAGACCACATCAGCAAGGCAACGGCCTGCGGTTCCAGAGCCTTCTCCGCCGCTACCTTGCTGTGAAACTGAGAGAGGGAGGACTGAGCCTCTCCATCAGTCTGTTTAGCCACCTTCAAGTGAGGAAACTGGAGTAAACAGAAGACCCCTTTCAGCATTAAAAGTCTAGTTTAGACTTTACTATTGCCCTCCTCATAGTCCCTCCCTTTCCTTGTAAAATGTGCAGATTTTTCTTGGCCAAGTACTTCCCTGAAGAGCAAGCAAAACCCTATCACTTCCAACACTTAATTCAAAACCCTCCAGCCATATGGGCCTTCTTAACACACTCTTCTGTGTGTTGGGAGACAATTCTCTATGGGTTTCTCAAAATTCTCTAAGTCTTAGATATACTGTGCCTGCCTTTGTTTTACTCTCTTTCCAAAACTATTTCTGAAGTAAATAGCCTAAGACAAAGATCATGACTCTTCTGGAGCCCAGAACAGAAAGGCTTATTTCCAGGGCGCGTGGGTGGCTCAGTCGGTAAGTGTCTGCCTTCGGCTCAGGTCATGATCCCAGGGTCCTGGGATCGAGCCCCGCCTCGGGCTCCCTGCTCAGCGGGGAGCCTGCTTCTCCCTCTCCCACTCCCCCTGCTTGTGTTCCCTCTCTCGCTGTGTCTCTCTCTGTCAAATCAATCAATCAATCAATCAATCTTTAAAAAAGTTAAAAAAAAAATAAAGAAAGGCTTATTGCTTATCATAAAAGATTCGGATGTCCTTATCTGGGGGTTCCTCTACCTATAATAAAATACACCGTAAATGTGGCATCACCTGACCCTCTTCTTGCTACTCTGTGGGAGCTGGGGCTCAGGGAACCAAAAGGAAAGCTGACACTCCAGCTACTGCTATTGCTGAGTAATAAACTGTCCTTTGACTCTAGGAGTCTTGTCTTCTGCCAGGATCTATGAAACCGTGGCAAGCTAACCTGTTAGCTTATAGATAAGAAAACATCTTAAAACCCTTCAGAGTTCTTCAGCTGTTCTCTCAGGTTACAGACCTTGAACATATTGCTTCTTCTGCCTAAAATATTCTTCCCTCTACTTTTTAATTAACTAATTCATACATCTTTTAGGAACCAAGTTATGTGTCATATTCCCAGAAGTGCCTGTCTCTCCCATCCAACAACAAACTATACCACTATCCCTTTTTATTCCTAGAATTTATCACAATTTGTAATTATATCTTTGCATCTATCTGTTTAATGTTTACTTCCCCAGGTAGAAAGCAGTTTGTCTTGTCACCATTGTATACTTAGAGCCTAGCCCAGTGCCTGACACATCATAAATATCTGACTGAGTAAATGCTTAACAAGCACCTCTCACTTTCTTTATACAAAATTACAGAAGTTGATTTTTTAAATGAATGTATTTTTATAACTAATTTCAAGATAAAAATATAGAGACATGAACTATCACCTTGCTAATTTAAAATGAGGTATAAGTTCAATGTAAAAAGCTTAGGCATTGTAGATTTCCCTGCATTCAGAAAGTACCCTCAGGAACGATTCTCAAAGGGGAGGCTCACTAGACTTCTGTTGTGTCCACAGCATTTCCTTACCGGACATCAGCAGCCAAGCAAAACTCATATAATTTAATCCTGTTGGGTTTTTCTGTTTCTCCTGAACTGCTAGGGCATAATGAGTAGATGCAATACTAAACAGAATTATATTTGCTTATCTTCCTCAGAACCAGAAAAAATAAGACGATGCTGTTTGGATTGTTCTTACTTAAAAGTTATTTATCCTATATATAATAAAATTTTCCAAGGAACTTTCTTAAAAATAACAGATTCTTCTTTCCTATTCACCACCTATAGAAGCACAAAAACTCTTTGGGGGTAAGAGCTATTTTTTTAAAGAAAACGTTTCTTATTTTTCCTAGTCATTTTAAAAACTAGTCATAACCCACAAATATTTTGAATACGCAAACAAAAATCATTGTTTAAGCTACCCTTATAATACTATGTTAGACTCACACATCAGACTATAACCGCAGGACATGAAATAAAGGACTATCATTAGTTGGCTGCTAATGACTATAACCTCAGAACTCCCTAAGTAACTTTCACCTTTAAAACCAGTTAAAGAGGGGCGCCTAGGTGGCTCAGTCATTAAGCGTCTGCCTTCGGCTCAGGTCATGATCCCAGGGTCCTGGGATGGAGCCCCACATCGGGCTCCCTGCTTAGCGGTGAGACTGCTCCTCCCTCTCCTACTCCCCCTGCTTGTGTTCCTGCTCTCCCTATCTCCCTGTCAAATAAATAAATAAAATCTTAAAAAAAAAAAAACAGCTAAAGAACAGTTATTATCATTAAATTTTGTCTTATTGCAATGAATAAACATAAGTGAATCAATCCAATGAGCTATAAGCTCCGTAAGCATGAGGATACTATCGTTTTATTTGCTTCCACTGCCTTGTACATTATTAGGACTCCAAGAAAAGGTGCTAAATGACACTCACCATTAAGAATATCTTCAAATCCAATAGTCTCATCATTACCCCTCAAAATATCCAGTGAAAGGTTTGAGCTTGGAAGAAATGGAAGACGCTGTACCTTCAGGAAAAATATGAAAGGGCAAGATTAGAGAAAACCAAGGGGAGAAAGAAAACAATACATAATCTAATTTCATGCTCCTCATTCTTTACTTGTAAAATTCACAAAGCTATAAATAAAACACCAATATAACCAGTGGAAAAAAACACCAGTTCATACTTTAGACCCAAACCAAAATTTTTAAAATTCCTCAAAACTTTACTCAAAATATATAGACACTGAAAATTATAGTTTTAATTAACACTTAATAATCCCATCAGCTTTGTATATATTTTGGGGCTTTGTTTCTGTCCCAGAAAAACCACAGCATACACACGATGAAATGCAAAAACCCAAGCACCTAACATCATATCTACTTCCTAATAAAAGTGAGATGATCAAATTCCTGAAGAAATTCCAACTCAGTAAGAGCATTATTCTACTTAGTAAGTTGATTACTTCACTTTGTATGTTGTTTTGTATTGCTCATTGTAAAAATGTTAAGTTATGACCCTTTAAAACAGTACTGGTAACCAGAAAGGAAGACCAAAGTCACTTGTGGGGCCTTTAAAAAACACAATACTATTCTCAACTAGTGGTATCTACCTTGTTCAAGTATTAAATATATATACTGCAGACTGGTACATAAGTATATAGTGGAGCAAGCAAGGGTTGTGGAGTCAAAGACCTGGACTCAAACCATTCTACTACTTACAGTACTATGGCTGTGTTTAAGTCACCTGATCCGTCTCACCGTCAGTTTCCTCATCTGTGAAACAGGGTAATACCACCTTCCTCTCAAACATGCTGGATGATGTGGTGTAAAGTATGTAATATAGTATAGTCATTGGCATAGACTTACTATTCAATAAACTTTCATATAGCCAAAACAAATTTTCAGTTTTCTGTGTTCTTTGTTAGTTGTCTAGCAATTATAATTGGAAATGCAGATTATTTTGGATATTGACAAAAGAATGTCAAGAGTAGTAATAGGTGGTCCATGACTACAGGATACTAGTATTTTAAAATAACCCTTCTTTCTGCCATTTTTCCATGCTACCATAATGGTGTGCATGAATGTCCTGGCAGATGCTCTCAAGAGCATTAACAATGCTGAAAAGAGAGGCAAACGCCAGGTTCTTATTAGGCCATGCTCCAAAGTCATTGTCTGGTTTCTGTGATGATGAAGCATGGTTACACTGGCAAATTTGAAATCACGGATGATCACTGAGTGGGGAAAATTGTTGTGAACCTCCTGGGCAGGTTAAACAAGTGTGGAGTGATCAGCCCCAGATTTGATGTACGACTGAAAGATCTAGAAAAATGGCAGAATAACCTGTTCCTGTCCCGCCAGTTTGGTTTCATTGTACTGACAACCTCAGCTGGCATCATGGACCATGAAGACTCAAGATGAAAACACACAGGAGGGAAAATCCTGGGATTCTTTTTCTAGGGATGTAATACATACGTGCAAATAAAATGCCTCAGTGGAAAATATAAAATAAAATAAAAATAAATAAAATAATCCTAACTTTGAAATCTAAGGGTGCTGTTAAGATTATTTCCCCCAGGGATGCCTGGGTGGCTCAGTTGGTTAAGCATCTGCATTCAGCTCAGGTCATGATCCCAGGGTCCTGGGATCGAATCACATTGGGCTCCCTGCTCATCAGGGAGCCCACTTCTCCCTCTGCCTACTGCTCCCCCTGCTTGTGCTTTCTCTCTCTGACAAATAAATAAATAAAATCTTAAAAAAAAAAAAAAATTCCCCCAAGAAAATATATCCATATTTAAAATACTTTTAATTACTAATGGCCTATAGAGTTTAGAATGGGAAAAAATTTCTTTAGGTTGTCAAAATTAGAAAAAAAATATACATATACATTTTAAATATTATATATAAAATAATTATATATTAAAATAATATATTTCATTTCTATTTATATATATATATATGTTTTTTTTCTTTCTTTCTTTAAAAGGAAAGTAGGGAGGATAGAGGAAGAAACAAAAATGGAGCTTTTATGTTAAACCAGAGAGTAAGGGGCCTGGTAGGTACAGTTTGATCAGATATAGTCCTGAGAAAGCACCAAAAGCAAGGATGAGCAGGCAGTTATTACACATCCCAACAAGCAAGAATGGCAATAGTACAGGGGAAAAAGGATAAGGGGCAGAATTCTGGGCAAGGATTTTTGAATTAAATGGGATTAAAATTTTAGGCCTGAAATACGAGCCATAGCTCATATTGATGAATGTGAGCAGGAGGAAAATAAAAGGAAGCTAATGATTCTGTGCCAAGCTTGCGTTATTTCAATCCTCAGAATAACCCTAATAATCACACACTGTTGTTACGGTCAACTCCATTTCACATTAAAAAACAAATGACCTGAGGCTCGGAAAGGTCTCTAATTTATTTAAGTTCTTAAGGCTAGTAGATGGTGGAGCCAAGATTCACATCCAGGTTATTCTGACTTAGAGCCACACACTCTTTTAGAACGTGGTTGTTAGAAAAAAGTTCTGAAATAGCTTCCACAATGACTTAGCCAATACAGCTGATGGTATGAATAGAATTTATTGAAAAAGACACAGTAGTAGGAAGAACTTGTGCAAAAGCCAAAAGGTGAGAGAAAAATTTAGTCAGGACATGCAAGTAGTTTTAGGAGCTATGAAGTATGGTGGAGAACAAGGAGATGCCAATTCATGGACACAGACACATTAAGGAGTTGAATTTTAATCTGAGGGCAAAGTGAGGGGAATGACATGGTCAAATTTGTATTTTATAAAAATTACTGTGGCTAGAGCATGTACAATGGATTAGAGGGCAGTAGGGGTGGGTGTCACAGTGATCTGGATGAAGTACAGTAGATGATCAAAACCAATGTAGTAGCAGTGGTGAGAACATCTAATTGACTAGATGGTGGGAGGTATGGCTCGGGGGTAGGGATGTGGTGCAGGGTGAGATAACCAAAGCTCATGCTCCAATCTCTGCCTTGGGAAGCAACCTGTTCATACGTGATACAGAGTATGCGAGGAATAATGAGTTATTCATTATTCATTATTCATCTCACTTACACATGTGAAATCTGAAGTGCCTGTGGACTTCCAATGGCGAAGTCTATAGGTTTACAGCTTATGAGAATTAAAACTTGGGAGTCATCAACATATAAATGATACCTGAAGTCATAGGAATAGACAGGAAATAACAGAACGAAAAGAGGACTGGAGATGGGAACTAACAGAACAGGTATTTCAAGGTACAGAAGAAAGCAAAAGGAACCTACGCAGAAACACCTGAGAACAAGGTTTCAGAGACGAGGGGTATCAGGAAAGTGTGGTGTCCTAAAAGCTCAGGGAAGGAGTCACTGGCGTAACATACCACAGGGACATCAAACAAAAGGAGGGCAAAGGGTGTCCACATTGTTCAAGAGCAGTTTCACTGGTGTGATGGGACCCAGAAACAGTGGGTTGCACTCATAGTAGGTAAAGGAGCATGTACAGCAAATGGAGGCAACTTTAAGACGCTCAACCTGCAAAAGCACACTCAGTGAGAGAGAAGGTGCTATAAAGAGACTGACAGAAGTTTTGTCTTAAAAGACAAAAAAAAAAGGTTAGAATGTACGTAAACACTGCTGATGAGTCTGAGCAAGTAGAAAGAGGATGAAGATACCAGCTATAGAAAGGATCCATGAAAAGGGAATTCCCTGACGTAGCGTGAGCATAGGTCAAGGACAGTTCTTACACACTTGGAAGGTCATTTCTGAAGATCTTATTCCTAAGCAACAGGTGCACTCAGCTATATACAAACTGCCTATATACAAACATACCACCACATGGATATTCCTAGAGGCATTTCAAATTCAACGTAACTCCCCAAAAAGAGAAAAAAATGAAAGCAGTTGCAGGTAAGTTTTGGCACTGAACTCATAATCTGAAGTTTTCCACTTAATGTCTTCTTTTTTCTCTATAAAGTAGAAATCGAGGTCATATCCTGAAAACGGGCAAAATAGAATAGGCTACAGAGGAGAAGAGAAAGTAAGGGTTATAGGGCTAGTACTGGAGAAGAGTCCTTCCAATCCATAGCAACATACAGGTGGAATGTATTATAACTGACATCCATAAACTCACCTGCTGCACTGCCTTGAACTCCATTTGTAATTTTAGTGGAGCAAACAGGCCCTGGATGTTTCTTAGTGTGGAAAAATTCATTTTATCTTGGTTGAGCTGGAACTACAAAGGCAAACAATGTAATTTTAAATGTTACACTCAACATTGTTTTCAAAACAGCACTGTTACATATATAACACAACACTTAAAGAATTTTAATATCCATAACTGAAATAAAAACAAAGTACTTTTATTAATTTCTTCGAATATATATGTCTATGTTTTATTCAGCATGCAGGTGTACTTCACCAACGTAAAATCACCACCTAAAATTTGAATTTACAAAACTGATAAATTAAGGAATGTTTTTTACATTGCAAAAGCATATTTACAAATCATTTCAGTGCTTTTGATTAGAATTACCACAAAACTGATAAAACAAAGAAAAGGTATAAATAAAATGAGATCTAGAAAGATTTACATACAAGTGACAAAAATACTGAATTTCTAAGTATACAAGTATATAATTCAAAAGATTTCACAAAAGAAATAGTCAAATCCATGATACCACCCTGTTAATTAAGCTACAAAGTTTACACTCCACTTTTTGGGGTAAGAGATTCCTGGGTGGCAAGAGGACCCAAAACTCTAAAGTTTGTCCAGTTTGTATTGGGTGCTAATAAGCAATTTTTTTCTGGAATCAATCACACTTTTACTAAACACTAATATTACTTCTAAAAAACTTTTACTGCAATTTAATGTACTTCAGGCAAAATGAATCAACTTGACCCATGAATTCTAATCATACAGTTTCCCAAAACGTAGTAGATACGATTTGCAGACAGACTGCTACAAAGGCCTGAGTTAAGGTTATTATAGTAAGATAAAGTGACATCTGTGATCATTTTTCACTACACTACATTCTCTTGATAAGATTTTAGGTCATGGGGGGGGATAATTTTGATCAAAAACCTATTGAGAGATTAGTAACCACTTTAGACATGACCTGGGGCCATATACATTAATTCTGAGGTCAGATACCCAGCGATATGGTTTTTAATTACTTTAGCTTGAGTATAAAATTTTAACAGATGGTCCTTACAGAAAACATGCAATATTTTATTATGGGTATATAATCTGAAGTTCTCACTGAAAGTTTCCTTTAAGTATTGAGTTATTCTTATAAGTAAATACAATTTTATGTAAAAATCTCAATTTTACAAACTTTGATGACTATACCCACCTTGTAATATGATGTCAAACTGCAATTATCAATCAACATGTACTTAATTATTACCAACCACATGCAAAATTAGAATCAGGCTCTGTGGCAATATACCACAAAACAGTCTACCATGGAGAAGGTTATATAATCTAGTTGGGAAGACATTACATATAGATCAGGGCTTCTCAACCCTTGGCATTACTGACATCTTGGGCTCGGAATTATTTGTTGTGGTAGATGGGGACTGTTCCATACGTTGTAGGATGTTTAGCAGCATCTCTGGCCCCATCCAACTGATGCCAGGACCAAAGACCCTTCTCTCCCAATACTACTTGTGACAATCAGACATTGCCAAATGTCCCCTGAAAAAGGTAAAATCATCCCTAGTTGAGAACCACTGGTATGAATAATGATGCACATCTTCCATCACTATCACTACTACAGCTCCCAATCATGGAGAGCTACTATAAGCCAGCATATGCCAAGGCATGGGCTATTACTAACTCCATTTTACAGATGAGGAAACTAAAACTTAAACAGAGATTAAGGAACTTGCCCAAGTTCATATAGCTGCTAAGTATGGTGTCAAGAATCTAAACCTATATAGTTCAATTATATAATCCATGCTAAAGGACTTATAATAGTTAGTAAGTGCCACAGAATTTCGAGAGACTGCCATTAGGTGGTTAAGTGATTAAGGAGACTACACAGAAGCAGCTGATGTAAACTGAGTCTCAAATGATCTATGTAATTTTTTAAACTCTTCACCATTTGGGCCTGTCTCACTCAGATTTGTCGAAGTTTCTCTTAACATGTATTGCTCAGAACTGAATCAATATTCCAAATCTAATGGCCTGGCTAATACTTAGGAAAGTGAGACTGGAATCTCCCTTGATTTGACACCCATCTTGCACCATCTTCCTGAAGTAGTGTTAAGATACCTTTCTTCTTGCTCTGAACATGTATTTAGAAAGTCTTTAAGTTGTCTTTAGAACATATATACAGGCTATATACCCTCTTTGGGGGTGACCCTTCTCTACCTATTAACCTGGTTAATACTGGTCTAAAACTATTCTAATGTATGCTCCTCTACAAAGCCTCCCACTAGCCCTATGCACAGGTGGTTGCTCCATCTTGGTCCTCTATACCATGTTATGAAGCCCCTATCCACTGCTTGTCCTCCCACTAAATTTCCAGCCCCTTAAGGATGGGGATTGTGTCACATTCATCTGTGTATCTACTGTGCCTAGCAAGAGGATATGTCCCTCAGTAACTTGGGAGATGTAGGGCTTGAGAAAGAGGTCAAGGCTAGAGATGTGGACTTGGAGGTCAACAGCAAAAATGGAAGAGGAAAAATATAAAAGAAAATAGGGTCATCAAGTAAGAAAATATTGAGAGGAAAGGAAAGGGGGATTGGCCTTTAGAAATGTCCATAAAGGGGTGTCCGGCTGGCTCAGTCAGTAAAACATACAACTCTTAATCTCAGGGTCGTGAGTTCAATCCCCATGTTGGGAGTGGAGCCTAGTTAAATTGGTCCATAAAAAAGGCAAAAGAACAATGTGTAGAAAAAGAGCTTTAGTGAAGCAGTTTGATAATTCAAAAGCCTACTCTACAAGGATACTGAAAATAAGTCTTCATATTCTTCATGGTCAAATGCTCAACATTAAAATTGTCTTAATAAATGAAACCACATAAGTATTACTAAAAGTATTCTTCTACTAGAGGATAAAAATAAAAACATGGGTAACATACTTACATTTTTTTCTGATAATTCAAGAGGATGACTGGGCAAAAGTTCGTTTTTCACACACGGAAGGCTAAAGAAAAATATTTAAGAGAGATCATAAATCACTCAATACCTAAAGCTCAAAACTGTATCAATAGATGTAACTACAATGGAATGGCACAAGTGAGGTTTTAGGAACAACGACACTTCTGTAGCCTGATTGTAGAAACTGACATATGTATTTAAATTCACATTACTATGAATTATAACATTAAAAAAAGGTCAAATTTACTATATATGATAACGGTTTTAAAATGTATCGATTATAGGGACACCTGGGTGGCTCAGTTGGTTAAGCATCTGCCTTTGGCTCAGGTCATGATCCGAGGGTCCTAAGATCGAGTCCTGCATCGGGCTCCTTGCTCAGCGGGGAGCCTGCTTCTCCCTCTGCCTGCCGTTCCCCCTGTGCTCTCTCTCTTACAAATAAATAAATAAAATCTTTTTTAAAAAAATGTACCGATTATAGGTACTAGTGGTTAATTCACTAGGGTGAGCCCTTCAAAAAACAGTGTTAAATGAAGCTCTGTATCTAGAAGAAATTTAATAAAATATGTTTAAAACTACTATTATTCGGGGCGCCTGGGTGGCTCAGTCGTTGAGCGTCTGCCTTCAGCTCAGGTCATGATCCCAGGGTCCTGGGATCGAGCCCTGCATCGGGCTCCCTGCTCCGTGGGAAGCCGGCTTCTCCCTCTCCCACTCCCCCTGCTTGTGTTCCCTCTCTCACTATGTCTCTCTCTGTCAAATAAATAAATAAAATCTTAAAAAAAAAACAAAACTACTATTATTTGATAACATGCTTCCTGTATTATATTAAAAATCTAGGGGCATCTGGATGGCTCAGTCAGTTGAGTGTCCAACTCTTGGTTTCAGCTCAGGTCATGATCTCAGGTGCTGGGATTGAGCCCCACATCAGGCTCCACACTCAGCAAAGAGTCTACTTCAGGATTCGCTCTCTCCCTCTCCCTCTGTCCCTCCCTGCACTCACATGCCTCACCCCCTCAAATAAATAAATCTTAAAAAAATCTAGACCTCTTCTGTTTAGGTCTATACATACTCAATATTTAATGTATCTTTAATAAACACATGCTGAAAAATGTTTGACATTTATTGAATACCTACTATATAAGGTCATATACTGCTAGAACCAAACCACTGGTCTTTAACACTCTAGATGTATAAAGATGACTATCCTTATTGCCAAAATGGCATTTGAGAGCTGAAAGGAACCTGCAACAATCGTTCATTGAATATTGTCTTTGTACAGAACATTATCCTAGAAGCAAAATTTGAAAATGGTTCTGTTCATGGCAATCTTAAAGTCTAACTGGGAAGAAAAAGGAGCATTTTATATGGAAAAAAATAAATAAATAAGAAATCATCAGAACCTGGTTACTGACTAGTTTCATGAATTTGATTATACTATACCATAAATCAAATTATATCTCCAAATCCAAAGACTATAAACTGCATCTTTCACTAGAAAATGGAAAAAAAATGAAAAGAAAATAATGAAGCATTATGACTGTCCCCAGACATCAGTATTAGAATGACATTTTATTATAGTAAGACCAAACTACCTTAAAGTTACATATAAAATTCAAAAATTCAAAACAGATGTTTACAGGGGTAGACACACTACCCTTATTTGATTAAGCAGAAAAGTAACCTCCCAAAAAGTACCAGAAATTGAGACCTAAACATACAGAAACATGGAAGAAATCAAGGGAAGGGGTACAACTGTGTGCTGAAGCTAGAAAAATAAAGTAACAGCAGCTAACACTTACTGAGAGCTTATTAATGTCAGGTACTGTTCTAAGTATTTTTCATGTATTAACTCATTTATTTCTCAAAATAAGATTTATATTATTAACAGCCCTATTTCACAGATATAGACATGAGACATAGAGCAATTAAGTTACCTTCCTGAAGTCATACATCTAGTAAAAAGCAGAGCCAGAATCAAAACCCAGGCAACCTACTCCTGAGTAGGCTCTTAACTACTATGCTCTAGTGTTTCCAAGAGAATTATTCCAGCAGTTTATAAGATAAGGAGACAAATGGCTTTCCAAGTTAGGAGTATCAAAAAGAAGCATCCTACCAAATCATGCTACTGGGTAACAGCTCCTTGCAGGATGCCCTGTCCTGGGAACCCATTACTGTTAAGACACTTCTTCCATTATAGAAAACATCCACTCCCATCCTCCCCTAGTCTAAGGTATATTACTTGCTATGTCCCAAATTAAATATATATTTATGGTCTATCAAAATATTTAAAGAATACTGTGAAAAAATTCACAGAAACATTTTATTATAACAAAGTCAAAGTCACAATTCCCCTGTATACCCTTTTCGAAGAAGATCATGACTTTCAAAAGGTCCACTTGCTGAAAGTTCAGTAACTGGAATACTGTCCTTTAACTGAGATCCAAGTCCTCTGGCATTCTACAACACAAATAAAAACACTATTAAATATAAAAAAATGTTTTAAAACTCACACTGAACATCTATGTAAAAAACAATTTAAGCACTAGACAAAAAAAAGTAAAGTCTCTGCTCTCAAAGAGCTCACAGCCTAGATGATGAGCCTTGGCATTATGGTAGAGTGATTATACATGGTACACTAAATAATATCAAATTTGGGCGTAGGAAGGACTCCTGAGTTGATCTCTGAATATTGTCATATTGAAAGGCATTCCAGGAAAAAAGAATATGGGTAAAAAGAAAGGTACAAAAATATAAATGAACAAGCCATAAGTAGTTTGACCTAACCAGCTAACTACACGTCTAGCGAGGCAAAAATAAAGCAAGGCTGGCAAAATGAAAAAAACAAAAAGGCTTAAACATGCAAAGAAATTCAGGTTTTGTTCTGAGATTGACAGAGAGCCTCTGAGGGTTATGGCATGATCAGATTTACTTTCACTGGAAAGATCCCTCACTTAGGATGGAATGATTAGCACAGAATGAAAAAAGTTGAGGAGAAAATCCTGGGGAATACTATTCCTTAATGAAGAACAAGTGGGATTAAGAACAAACAGAATAGCTAGAAGAATGTGGTCACAGAAGGTAAGGGAAAAAAAAGAAAGCCATTCAGAAAGTATTTGGTTTCTATAACAGGGTTCTCCCTATGAAAAATAAATCTAATCAGCACAGTATAAACAAAAACAAAGACTCACAGAATATCTGGCACTGGTATATTATCACCCTACACATCTATACCATAAAACATTTAATCATCAAATATTTATTAAGCATCTACTATGTGGCAGGTACTCTGGTAGATGCTGAAGATACATGTCTACCTTCCAGGGTTTAGTCTAATGAAGATAAATTAAGCAAATAAATTGCAATAAACATTACAACAGGTAAAACACAAAAGTTGACTTGTAGTCACTTGTCGCTGTAATTCTGCAGAAAAATGTAAAACAGCTACAGGTATTTTGGTATCCACCTTACACTATCCCAGGAGAAACAATTCTGAGAAACCAGCATTTTAAATTGATTTCTTAATTTTTCTGTGTATTTTATTTGGTCAGGTACTTTATCCTGTTCAGAGTTTCTTCAATCCACCACTCTACTTCAGGATCTCACACCTGGATAACTTTAACAGCACCTGACTGCATCTTGCCGTCTCTAGACTTTTCCATTTTCCAATTCTGCATATCAAGGCTTTCCTAAACATATAATTTCCCCCACCAAACTGTTATAAAACCTTTCACTGATTTGCCAATGTCTTCTCTGAAAAAGGAAGTCCAAATGAAGAACCTACAAAACAGTTTCCCCTACACTGAAGTCAAGGTTGATCAGGAAAAGAATCTGGAATCTAGTGTGGACAGTCTCTAACCTACTATGTGACTATAATCAAAGCATACAATCTCTCTGCCCCCGTTTACTCATCCTTCCAGGTGCCTGAACTCTTTCCAGATCTAGAATTATATGATTGTACATTTCCAAATGCATCTCCTGGTACTTTCCCACATAAACATTCTCCTCCTCCCAGACTTCTTTATTATAAAGTAACAGAAGAAAAGTTTCTTCTATGCACAAAGAAAAGGAGAATTCGGATTTCTGGGTTTTACTGTTATGATTTCCCCCAATTTCCTTGGGTAAAATATCAGGATTGGGACCTGATGTTTCTAGTAAAGCAGCAGAAGAAAGCAAATCTATGAAAAGTTAAGTACCACTAGACCTCGAAGTGTTTATAAAACTTCTTCACAATAATCAGCAATATTACCAACAGAAACTTTCTAGATTTAGATGGCCTAGTATCAGAGTCAGCGGCCATGGCCATTCAGAAGTCTTTCCCAAGCATCAGAACTTTTAAGTTAAAAAGCGAGAAAGGGGATGCACTAACAATTAGGGATGCGCTAACAATCCTGACAAACGAGGAATTACAACTGTCCGATTTTACCCCTCCAACTTCTGGAATACTACAAGTTCCCCAAAATGCCTGTAAAGGTGAGAGATAAAAAGGAAACTTTACAGCTGGGTCTGTTAGCAAAGCAGTTCCGAGGTCAGGGGTGAGTGAGGAATTCGAAGGCTCTAGGCCCCCAAGGTTCGCCCCTCATGGGAAGGGTAGTTGGCTGAGCCGACCAGACACCACGGAACAACGCTACACTTTCGGATTTGTCCTTGCCAGCTCGGCGCCAACTACGGGGAAGGGGCTGGGGCGTGCTGGGGGACTTGGGGTTGAGTGGGCGCAAATCGAGAGAAACAAGTGAAGGGAATGAAGCCGAAGCGCTGCTCGCGGGACCGGCGCTGGAGCCCATGCCGGACGACAGCCACGAAACCCCCAACCCCGTGACTCGACAGATCATGGCGCCCGAGGCCGGCCTCATCCTCCCGCCGCCGCCGCCACCCCGGGACGAGCTAGGGGGAGGCGGACCATTCCTGCCGGGCCAGGGTCCCGAACCCGCCGGGAACTCGGGTCGCTCCAGGGTCTCACTCACCATCTTCACTTGCTCTGTGAACAGCCTCTCAGCCCCGTTACCGTCAGCCGGCCCCGCCGCTCACTTCCGTTTCCGGGGTTGCCCCCCCACATCCGCCGGAAGTGCGTCCGTCCGGGCGAGGAAGGAAGGAGGGCGCGGAGCGCCGGGAGGGAGCCGCGCGGGGCCGGGGCTCCCACGCCTGAAGTCCCGAGGGACCCGGGGCCAAGGGCGCAGTAAGGGTGTGGGCAGCGAGGAGGGCGGGTTCGGGACGAGACGTGCCGGAGCAGAGGGAAGACGCGGACCTCCGCTTGATTAATAATAAACATCTACCGTTGGTACAGTATTTGAAGATGTGCGGTGTGTTTTGGTAGATGCATCCCCTTATTTAATACAAAAGCTCGCTGAAGTAGATACTACGTTTTTCGTGAGGGTAAACTAAGCATAGGTGGGATGAATAATTTGCAGTCTTTCAGCTAATAAGGCAAAAGTAGAACACGAGGCTTTGCAAGTTTAGTTTTACAAATCATATGTCGAAGGCCTGCTATGTTCAGAATCCTGTGCCGAGGCTAAGAATACAGAAATGAATCAGGCTGATGCGGTTCCTGGGCTAGAGGAGCAGCGGAACTGTTGGGGGTGAGGGGAAGGGTGCCATCGAATGAAGTACGGTTGATAATTACAGACATACATTGGGCTTCTATTTATAGCAACACGATTGTAAGTGCTTTACATGAACTATCTCCGTTAATCCCTTCAATCATCTTATGTAGTAGGTACTACTGTTATCTCAATTTTACGGTCAAGGAAAGCAAGACAAAAGAAGTTAAATATGCCGAAGAACCCATAATCCGTTGTCATAACATTAAACTGTGTTGTCTTCCAAATATAATGTGATAAAATGGACTCTTACTCTTGTCACCGTATAATGGAGGTAACTTAAGGAATCCTTGGGCCGATAGTGAAAGGATAGAATGAACTCGTATGAGGTAGGAGAATATATGAAAGAACATTACTGGCATTTGCTTAGGTAAAAAAATGGTAAAGGAGGTCTGTGTGGCTGAAGTTCAGAAAGTGCGGTAGAGAGTAGTGGGAGATGAGGCTGTAAGTAGATGGAGGCAAGTTTATTATGGAGGCCTCTGTGCCAATTAAGGGTGAGGCTTTAACTTTAAACAGCCATTGAAGGATTTCTGAGGAGGGAGGCAGTAAGGTCAGACATGTTCTGTATATCTACAGCCATGGTCCTACAACCTTGAAGTTCCAGGATAGCCCAGATTTTGAATATTCTGCACTGCTGTCCTTATCTTCTGTCTCTCTATATCTACCTTGAGATTTGAGTTTGAATGTTTCATTTGCAACTTATTCCTTTCACTCAGTTCCACCTAAGGAGAAATTTTAAAACTGCAACTCTTAAAAAGAAATCATTTTAATGTTGTTGATTCCTCACAATTTAGTTATTAAGTTTTTGTTGAGCCTATGATTCTGGAGCTAAAGAGAAGAAAAAGCCATTTCCCTATACTTGAGATGCTTTTATTTTCTTGGGGGAATAGACATGGTAAATAAATGTAAATGCTTAATAGAGAAAGGAGTTGGATCAGGAAGTGGTTGGGAACAGGGAAAATAGGCTTTTGAGGAAGAGGAAATGTGGAAAGGCAGAGATTTGCAAAAAGTCATGTTGTAATATGAACAATGAGGATTTCCACGTGTTTGGAGTTCTGGGGGAGTAGGTGGAACAAGATGAAATGAGATTGGAAGGATTGGTTGGGGATACAATAAAGGGCCCGTATAGTGTGCTGAGGCTTGAGGCTTTTTTTTCCCCCTTTTTTCCTTTTCCTTTTTTTTTTTGTAGAAAATGGGCAATAATGGGGGTCTTTTCACAAACATTTGACGTTAAAAAAAATTATTCTGGTGGCAGCATGAAGAATATACTGGAATTGGGAGAAACTAGGAACCAGGATGCCATTTAGAGTGTTGCAGTAGTCCACAGAAGAGATAAGGGTAGAAAGGTATCACAATACATTGCAGAGACTTTGAGAAGCAGTGAAAAGTAGTGATGGACCTTAAGAAATACTAGAATTCATGAGGCAACCATTGGAAAGAGAGCCTGCTGTGGAGACAAAAAAGAGATGGTCAGAGAATCAGAAGAAAAATCAATCAAAGTGCTATCATAGAATCCAAAGGGGAAGAAAGTGTTGAGCGGTTGAAAAGTAGTTCAAAAGAAAGGTTAGAAAGTAGTTTTAAGATAGCTTTAAAAAGACCATGAAGTCTCAAAAATAGATCTTTGGTGACTGATTTTGAAGGTAATTTCAGTAGAAAAGCAAGGAGAAAAAATTGCCTTATTTTGTGCCATATACACACACCCATATTTATATCCTTCTAAAAAGGTTTGTTACAGCATTAACTAATACAAGTCAGTGTTGAGTGTGCTAAAGTAGTTTAAAGAATTAAGTTAGATTAGATATTAGAATGGTTTAATATGTTCACTTAGGCTTTATGTAATATGGTTTGGAGGATAGACATCTCTATGTCAGGCCCTATTCTTAGTTCTTTTTGTTTCAGTTAATCTTCAATTGCTCTATGAGGTAGGTACTACTATTATCCACATTTTATATAAGAAACAGGCTCATGTGTATTGTAGCACAAGTACTCTATTTTACTTTACTTTTTGTTGTCTTCCTTGACTTTACTCTTAAGCTTTTCTGGCAAAAATATTTGTTGAATGCATGTTGTTGAACATAGCAGAAGAAACCCATCTAGAATGCAGGCTGCTGTTGAAACATGGGTGAGAGCAGGTGAATGAAGATATCCAGGCAACAGCTCAGGTTGGTGTAAAAGCATGCTGAGTTGAAAAATGCCCATGGATTGGTTGAGTCCTCATCCCTTCAAAAGTAAAGAAAGGATGGTGTAAAGCAAATTATGCATTTCTTTTTTTTTTTTTAAAGATTTTATTTATTGAGAGAGAGAGCCTGAGCAGGGGGAAGAGGGAGAGGGAGAAGCAGAATCCCCACTGAGCAGGGAGCCCAGTGTGGGGGCTTGTTTGGGATCATGACCTGAGCCGAAGACAGAAGGCAGATGCTTAACTGATCCAACCACCCAAGTGCACCACAAATGCATGCATTTCAAAGAAAAGGTAGTTGAGTGACAAATGATCAAGCAGTAAAGTGGGGAGCAAGAAGTTGTGTTGACATTTTTCTTACTCTGTGAGTTAGGGAAAGTGGGAGAAAGAGTAGACACCACTGGACAGGCTTTTGAGGAAAGTGGCATCATTTATGAGAAAGATAGGTTTCAGTTAGGGCTAAGATGTGGGAAGAGAACTTGTGACAAATTTAAAAATACTGGGAAATCTAGTTGCAATAAATGAGGGAAGTCTAGTTGAATGTTCCAAAGGGCTTAGTAGCAGGCTTTGTGGAAGGAAGACCAGTGAGTAGCAGGTTCAGGGCCTGAGCATTTAATGGTACCAGAGGAGTACAGGGGGTAGAGAAGTCAAGGTCCTCTCCTTTATGCAGTTGATGTGACCGATACACTACCATAACCTTTAGCACTTAGTTGTGTTGATCTGTTTCCACATCTATCTATTTCTGTTCAACAAGTTTCTGCAGTCAGGGGCTATGTCTTAACACATTATTGTATCTGTATCTGGCACACAGAAAGCACCAGTACATGTTTGTTGAATGAAAAGTGTGGGAAAGAGCAGATGAATGGATAGTTATGGCTAATAGACAACACTAGGCTAATATGGTTGGGAAATAGGTGGAGGTGGACATGGGTGATCCAAGAAAACTTATTTGAAGAAGTTTCCAGAAGCACCTTCCTGGGCCTGGTGCCCAACCTTAAAGCTCAGCACTATAAGCTAAGGCCCTAAATCCTTATCTGGTTCCAGTTATCTCCTTTGCCTCAGGGCTAGACTCAACAAAAACTGGCACCTCACCAAAAAGTCTACAATTCCGACATCCACTAACATTAAGAGCCACAGATGTGTGTGTGGGCGCACGCGCGCGCGAACAATGTGCCCAGCCATCCCCTCCCCTCCCAGCTACAAATTCTGGCCAGTCCTGCTTGGTCTTTTTTCTCCCTGTCTCTGACAGTTCTTAGCCAGATGGGTTCTTTTGAGCTCTGAAAGCAGAATGGGGGGATTTGGAGAGGGTCTGACAACAAGGGTTGGTGGCAATGGTTTTCCCTCAGAGTTTAGCATAGGAGAAGCATGAGAGCTCCATTTTTTTAGAAAGATGGGAGGGAGAAATAATTAGTGTAAAAACTCTGTAAATCATATTCTTTCTAAGGTACCTATTAACTAAAACATTGTATGGCTGTGTAAGTTTCAGATATTGTGTTCCCCTATGAGGTTGGGGAGGGAGTTTTTGTGAAGGGGTGGTACAAATCTCAACTAATAAGAAAGTTCCTATGGCTCAGAAGACCTGAATAGAATCTGTAAATTATAAATAGTACACCCAACTCTTCTTTAAATGATCTAAATTCTTGTAGGGTTGGGGAAGGTTCAATGTGCTTAATTTCAGATAAATCATATTTACACATCTCTCTTTGCAAGTCCCTTCATAAGTGTTAAGGGATGGAGAAATACTTTACACACAGTTTATTTGACAGACCCTTTTCTTTAACCCTAAGAGATGAGTGTTTCATATTTCTTCTGAAATACTTGCTGACTATGATTTCAGATGGAGCTGCTTTTAAAAGAGTGTCCTCTGAATATGAAAAGCTGGGTATTGAGAATAAGTGCTAAAGTGGACTCTTGAATCCAGGTGTTTTATTTTACTATTTGACATCTGCATTGCATCAGATACAGCAGAGGTTAGCATTCCATTTTCCCTGCTTTTGAAGCCCTATTTCAGGTCTATGCTTTTGGAAAAAGTGGTTTATACTTTCATCATAAAGAGTCTTTATTCATCTGTGGAGTTGTAGATTATATGCGACAAAGTTTAAGTGCTAGCCCCATTTCTATTACCCTTCATTTACCAGCCCACATGTAGAAGCATAGAGTCACGTTAATACTAGCTAAAGAAAAATTTAATTCAGAAGGCAGATCTGCCAAAAACATATAGTTGCATACAGAACCAAATATAATATGCATGTACACCTGATATTTTCGATTCAGATGCTGTTTTT